TATAGTTACTATATATATAGACTACATAATTTTTAAAAGCACAAATACTCATTTGATTTCATGACCATGAACAGCCATTGTAAAAAAATATTCATTTGGTAACTGTCTTTTTAACGACACTAAATAATACAGAATATTTTCTAATTTAGTCCCGACATTAGTAAAAGAAATGTTTACCCAATCTGAAGATGACAAACAACTCCAACACTAAATCAGCCATCTTATACTTGTAATGGACTTTGCAGGTCTCCTTTGTGCCTACGCATTTATGCCAGCAATACTAAATGCCAAGAAGGAATAGCATAAAACAAGGTTTTCTGTAACTGTGTCCCCACCATGATATGAACAGTGGCTTCAGTAGAGGATTTGATTTGGGGGAAGGGCGGTGACAGGAACCGGCTTTCTGTTCATTTCTCAAGCAGCAAGCCTGAATATGGGCCTTGCACATGGCTCACAGTCCAAATACATTGCATCACAGATGTGGCTGTTCTTGGAAATCCACCATTTCTGCAAGTTATCCTCAGGAAATCTGCTTGTGCTCTAAGCACTTATAAATGTGTTTCACTGTGACTGGAACCAAGATGAAATAGCAATATTAGAAGAGCTGGTTTTGTTTATGGAGTGACCAAATATGCCATTAAACTAGAACAGTGCAAACAGCGGGGAGGTAGGAACCTTCTACAGTACAAATTATTCCTTTCAAGTAGCCATGGAAATCTTTCCTGAAACTGACCCTAGGTGCCAAATATAAATCAGAATTAACAACTAACAGAGTTCTGCTAGATTAGTCACATCAAAATGATAAGCTGCACTTACACAGCACAAGGATCTCAAAGCACTACCCTGGCATTACATTATTTAGACTCACAGACCACCAGTAATTATTAAATATTATCACTCACGTAATGGAGATGAAAACAGGCACAAAAATTTGCCCAAGGACACAGGAGGGAGAAGGGGGACAGAGAAAGCGTATCTACAGCAGAGCCAAAAAAAAACCCCAGATCTTTCAATTCCCAGTCTTAACTCATGGAACATCTTTCTTCCTGTGTCAGTGTAAGAGGAACCAAAGTGTAGTTTATCTAGGAACTAATGAATCATCCCAGAAAGAAGGAATTCAGATCAGATCAGAGCATAAGCGCCTACGTTTGGAATCACATTTCTTTGTATTCAACAAAAAGATCCTGTTTCCAGTCCTCCCTTGACAAAACCTGGAGAACAGGAAGTGTTCAGCATCCAAACTCTGCTAATTTCAGAGTTCCTGTGAAAGCACAAGACCATAAGCATGGAGACCCTGTGTGTTGGCCCATCCTCCAGCTACTCTGCTCTGACAGAAGCAGTCATACTACCAAAATCTTCCATGGGAGAGGCTATACCTTAAGGCCCTCTTTTAAGGGGATGAGACACCTTATAGAAAAAGGAATTCAACCGTGGGCAGTTCCCCACCCCCTCCGCCCTGGTGGATCCTCCGCCCTCGGAACTCATCGGTAAGGACCAAGGGAGAGATGGTCGTCATGGGACAGCAGATGTTTCCCCCTTAAAGAGGTGCATATCTGCAAGTTGACGATCCCTTCTGCACACCGCTCGCCCAGTCCTGTGTTTTTACAGGATCAGACAGATCCCTCCAAACCCCTTCCCTGCCAGGGGAAGAAGGAACGTGGGGGAAGGAGCATGCTGTGGATCAAAGGCACCTCCTGGCCTGTTGTTGTTTGAAAACTGCTTTTCACATCTTCTACAGATCTTGCTCATTATTCTGAGAGCACCACATCATTGTGCACGTGAACCCAGTGTTCTTTACAGTATAGGACAGGGAGGATTTATGCCAGTGTGGATTTCCCCCTCTAAACAGGCTCCTAATGTGTAGTCAGTTCATGGGAAGGGATAGCAGTGAAGCTGCTTCAGAGGTCACAGCGACACACTGGAAGGCCATTTACACAATCTGTTGGAGATACCAGGCAGTTAAAATATACCTCAGGCCTGATTTTCAAAGCATTTGGAGCATCTACCACATCTATTGATTTTCATTGGTGTTTTGGTTGAGCAACACTTGGAGGGGGAAGGGGAGTGGGGGAGAATCAGGCCAATATTGGTGAAGAAATGGCAATACCATGGCAAATTGCGGTCCAGTTCCTGCATTCCTCACTCAGGCAACATTTCCATTACTCTCAGGGTAGTTTTGTCTGACAAAAATCAAGCCGCTAGAAGCTGCAATACTGATACCTAATTCTTGTTAACTAAAATTTACACTCCACATAAAAATGTATAATAAAATAATCTGAACACACAATAGCTTCAGCTTCCATCTTAAATTTCAAACACACAAGCTTTCCCATGTTTACAATTTAAGCTGTGTTCTTCCCCTCACTGTGAAATCCACACAAGTAGACCCATTTTTAATCCCCTCCTACCAAAAACCTGTTCACTTTGCACTTAGAGATTGGGCTGTCTTATGATTGTTCTATTTGAACATCCAACACTAATAAAAAGAAGCAGAGACCTGAAACCTCCCCTCACTTCTGTTGCGGGGGTGGGGGGAACAGCAGTGGAGTGCATGCAAGTGTTTAGCAACCAGCCTGAGCTGTCACTGCAATTAGCAATGCACATTTCACAATCAGAAACATTAGCAGATTCTTGCAACTGTCCCTACTACGCAATTCACCAAGCAGCCACAGAATATGTAGGCCAAACTAAGGACAAAAGGAAGAAGGTTGTGTCAACAATTTCACCTAGCTTTAGGGTAAAACTTTCAACAGCACAGATGTTTGTTTCTTTGTGGTATGAAAGGAGATACCATTCACAGGAGTTTTTAAATGGGCTCACACTAGCACCTCTACCACTAGCTCCATTAAACAAGAAACAACGTCTACTGACAGCGTGAGAAAGAAGTTTGCTCTTCACCCTCACAATCATACTGTTGCCCTACTAACTTCCAAAATGTAGAATGATAGAAGAGGTCACATTCAGGATCATTACTGTAGTGTTTGTATTGCATTGTGTTTTCATTTGAAGAGATGTTGGAATGATCAGATCAAGTACTTTCACTTAAAATTAAGGCTATTACTTTACATTCTTGGGGGCTTCATGGGATTGATTATGGCCTGGGAAGAGGACAGGAAAAGGCAGACTTTACTAGTTAGCTGTCTTCCAAAGCATGGTCTCTGTACTACCACTTTTAAAGGGAAACAAATGGAAAATGCACATATAACCCCCAAACCTTTCTAACCTAAAATTATGACAAATGAAAGGGATTAGGGACACTTCTCTCTTTCTATTAATTTACTTTTGTACAGTACATTTGACAGCAGAGCTTTATGTAAAACTCAGCTTCACTGTTCCCTTTGTCAGACAGCTTTTTCCCCAGTTGCTTGTGTGAAAGCAGCAACAGGGGAGGAAAAACATTATAAAAATAGGATGTACCATAAAACAACAGGAATTGGCCAGGGGACTGAAGGGCAGAGGTACCATGTGAAACTGGTTTTAGCTCCTTTTCTAAAAATTGGCTAGATGGATAATGTTCCTTTAAAATGTAGATATTACAATGGGATTGCTTTGATATACTGCTGCATAAAGTGAACAGCTTTCCCTTCCTTGTGTGAAGACAGTAAGCAGGAGACAAAGTATCATATACAGTATCTGCCTTAGGCATGCTGGCTATGTCAACAGATTATCTCACATTGAACTGTCTAGACTGTTATTAATATGCAACTGATTCAAAAGCAAAAACAATGCAGAATTAAATGGGGTTTCTAAAATGAAATCATATTAACCACTTCAGTTTAATTTAGTATGTTAAAAGTATAAAGGAAACCAGATGTGACCATCACTGAGGTGCAGACTGAATATTAACAAAAAGTGTTACTCCCTTAAGAGAATTTAGCAAAGTTGGGTTGTCCAGTTGCAAGTGAAAATGTTTGTTCTGTGCCAGTAAGCTTTTCCTCCAAGGAAGTCAAAGCCAAAATAATTTTACTAGGTAAGTCTCCAAGTATCTTACCACAGTCCAACTAGGTACTAGTAAGAGGATTGTCCTGGAGACCTATCATCCACCTAGGAAACAAAAACAAAACATCCGACTGCCCACTTACTAGACAACTAGCACACACTAGTTTTGTGTTAGCAAATTTTGCACTGGATCACTGCAAAATTAAATCCAGCCCCTGTTTTTTCTCCAGTATTCCAACTGATAGTTATTTATGGTTCGTGTGTGTTTGTGTTGGTAGTGACTTTTACACCTCACCCATTTCTCTATAAACTGCTCTTCCACTTGATATTTAGTCTTGTCACCCATCATTTTGAATGTAACTATAAGACCAGATTTCCACCTTTAGAAGTACTCCAGTTTCTTGTACACAAGGAACTGGAGTACTTCTAAAGGTGGAAATCTGGTTTTATCGTTACATTCAAAATGATAGATGTCTCAATCCACCTTGATGGCTGAAACCAGCCTGAAGTGTTATTGTCTTAAGCCAGTTTAAAACACAAAAAGAAGTTTCATTTGCGCAGAACAATTGAAAATAAGGCATCAATCTTATTCCAGATTTCACAAGCTTTCTTTTGCTACTGATACCATTCCTAACCCCATAAAATCTCTAAATTAAACTAGGATTTTTATTGACACATGCTAATTACCTGAGAGGGGGAAAAAAGATCTATTCCATTTCCACCAGCTGTCAGTTGTCAACACAAGTGATCAGCCTTGTTACAAAGAATCAACCCCCGCACAACACAAAGCAAAAAACCCACTAAGCTACCAGGCTTTACAAATAATAATAAAAACAAAACCCAAAGAATTTCACCGGATCTCAGATGTCATTTTGTGTGTTTGTAGGATTGAATGCAGACAGCTTTGAATGGACTACTGTTTCTATTGCAAAAACTATTCAAGTGTTAGCCCACACACAAAATACCTCCAAATTAAGTATTAAAGAAAAATCAAATCAAATCAGAAATGCAGCCTCAATGCACCGACTGTCTGCACTTAAAAGGTAATTTAAATGGTTCACCTGCTGCCAGTTTTCCTCCAAGGATGGCAAAGCTGAGAAGTAGCCGGTGTCGTGGACAAGCTGTAGTTCCTGGAATATACTATAACTAGCCAACACATCCATGCTGCTGCTGAGCAAAACCCTTTTGTTTTGTTTTGTGTTTGTTTGCTTGTGGTGGGGTTTTGTTTTTGATCATAAAAACAAAAGATCCAATGTCTCTTTTTTGTTTTGTGTTCTTTCTGTCACACTGTAAAAAAAATCGATGCAGGAAAGAGAGGGGAAGAAAAAAAAACCCAGTGAGAATGGCTAGATGCACCCAATATGCACAGTGCAAACAGCAGCCAGCAAAAGAGGGGGGACTCCTTCACTTGTAGTAAATGCAATTCCCTTCCAGAGCTCTAATCACTCCACTTCTTGGACCAGGAAGGGGGAATGCAAACTCACTGACACGAAACTGCCATCTATTTCTGCATTGCTGCTCGCTGCTCAATGCAATCTTTGCTCTTTATTTTTGGGAGCTTGCATTTTTTCTCGCGATCGCTTTTTTTCTCACTCCCCATTGTCCCCCCCCCCTTTCAAAACCAATCCCCCCTTCAGTCCTGTGAGCTCGGGGCCCCCCTTCTCTTCGTCCCCCTCCCCTCCCATCCCATCCTTTCTCCGCGCAGCCGTCAGCTCGGGAAGGAAGCTGTCCATTAAGACAACGCGTGACCATGTAAGGCAAAGAGGAGGCGGTGGGGGGAGCCCATGAAGTGTCTGGCCACCAATGAGGGGCGGAGAGAAGGGGCAGGAGGCGGCGCCTGGCACGGAAGGGCCATGCGGATTGGATGGGGGCTGGTCGCCCTGCTGCCCTACAAGGCAGTGTAAGGCGAGCTATTTTTAGAGGGCTATATAAGGGGCGGCCGGCGGCGCGCGGCGGCCTGGGGAAGGGAGCGGGGGTGGCGGAGGGATGCGGCCCGGGCTGTGCGCGAGCAGGGGCCGGGCGCTTTGCACAGCGCTGCGGGAGCGGCTCCGAGCCTGCCGGCCGCACGGAGCCGCCCGCTCCCCGCCCGGGGCAGTGCAGTGCGCAGCCCACACGCGCGCCCGGGGACGCTTGTAAGCAGGCTGCGGGGGGCAGCGCGCGCTGGGCTCCGCTCTCCTGCATCTGCCCTTCCTCCCCCGGAGCCCCGGGCAGGCGCCGGGTGGGACCCGGCCGGGAGCCGACGGAAGCGAGGCGCCCTGGGTCACCCTGTTTGCGAGCTGCTCCCAGCGCTCTGCGCTGCAGGGCTCGTGGACTCAGCTCCGCGCTCCGCGCCGCGGGTGCTCCCCCGCTTCTTCCCAGCTCGGCCGCCGACGGGGGCAGGGAGGAGCTGTCGAGTAACCCTGATGCCCAGGCAACTGCTGAGTGAGAGGGGGCGCAGCGACCCGCTGTGTAAAGTGGGAGAGGCAGCGCCCCGGAGTTTGCACCGGTGTGTGAAACCTGGTGACTGTGAAAGACTTGGAGTGAGTTTTAGAAACGTGCCCAGCGGCTGTGTCCTTCTGAATCTAGCCCGGCCAGGGGGAATCCAGCCAGGGGGAATCCAGCCTTCGGAAAAGCAAACAAGCGCTGGATAGTGATGCTAGAGACCTCCGTAAATGTACATGTATTTCTTAAGTCAATAGACATTCATCAAAGCGGTTAGCCAGGCTTAGCTGTTAGCTGATCCTCCTCGTGCATCTAGTTTGGGTTAGCTAATGAGCTGTTTGACCTTAAATGGTTAGCGTGATGGCAGCTTCCCCAATTTGCTCTTGGAGCTGGGCAGAGTTGCATTTCTGCTTTTGGAATGATTGCAGAAGTGTGACTGTGCTAATTTAAAGATGATGTTTTTTCTCCAATAATAGAAGAAATATGTTTGTCTCTCAAATTCTAAGGTCCATGAGTTGCAGTCAGGGCCGTATCCTGCCAGCACTGGGTGCACAGAGTTCCCTCCAGTGAAATTTTGCTAGAAACCCTTGATGGTGAGAGGGTTATAAATGGTTATAAACAAACATATTTTGCCACAAACACATTGTCAGGCCATCTGGCTTTGCAGCAGCTGTGCCACCACTGTTCTTACTCCTCCATGAATAAGAGGAACAGGTTTAGCCATCATCTACTTCTGTAACCCAACATAGCTCCTGGGTCAGATTGTCAGCTGATGTTAATCGGAATAGCTCTGTGCTGACTATAGTGGAGCTGAGCTCATGTAGCCACCTGATGATATGGCCCTTAGGTCTAACTCTCAGTAATGTTCAGATATAATGTAAGCAATATGGAAGTCTGACAGTATGGAATCTTGGATGCATTTTACTGCGTTTCTTTTTTCGAAATAGGGTATTTCGAAATAGCGCCTGGATGCGATTATGCAAATGAAGTGTGGGAAATTCAAATCCGTGCTTCATTTGCAATTTCACTCAGCTGCATTTGCATTCCTCTTTCAAAAGAGGAATGCAGTGTAGACATACCTTTTGTTTCTCCATTCACTGGCCAAGAGGGGCCCATTCTAAAAGAACCAGTACGTTTGGCACCTTTTAATAGTAGGATTAGTCAGAAGGCTGATAGAATGGTTATGAAGACTAAGTAACTCTCATACACACGGGCTGTGTCTAGACTGCACCCCTTTTGCGGAAAAGGGATGCAGATTAGACACATCGCAATTGCAAATGAAGCGGGGATTTAAATCTTCCCCGCTTCATTTGCACGAACATGGCTTCCGTTTTTTCGGCTCGGGGCTTTGCCGGCAAAAAGCGCCAGTCTAGACAGGTATCTTTTGGAAAATAAAGCCTTTTCCGAAAGATCCCTTATTTCTCTTAAAATCAGGAATAAGGGATCTTTCGGAAAAGGCTTTATTTTCCAAAAGATACCTGTCTAGACTGGCGCTTTTTGCCGGCAAAGCCCCGAGCCGAAAAAACGGAAGCCATGTTCGTGCAAATGAAGCGGGGAAGATTTAAATTCCCACTTCATTTGCAATTGCGATGTGTCTAATCTGCATCCCTTTTCCGCAAAAGGGGTGCAGTCTAGACACAGCCACGTAGTACACAAATTACTTACACATGTATGTGTGTGTGCATACTTTCTAATATATATAACCTGCCCCTCCAGAAGGAAGATGAAGAACATTGGCAGGCAGAGAAGAAAAGCTTTGCATAGGCTGCATCTATGATGGAGATATTCTAAGGATAGGAGTCATCATTTTCTGAGGTTTCTCGGGCTCCCAGAGTAGTGACATTTTTTCTGACTAGATGGAATGACAAGTCAGGTGAAGATCCTAATGAAAAATTCCCCTCCCCCCCAAAAAAAATCAAGAACCAAGAGGGTCAAATATGATAGGAATTGAGATGGTGCAATTGTTAGCTACTGTGCCAAGAAAAATTGTTTTAGGAAAAGCTTTCAGTGAGCAGTTCTCCTTCACAGATCATCTTTGGAAAACAATTTCAGAGTAAAGACCTTGAAAGGAAGCTGTACTTGGCCTGTTTTTTGCATGTACGGATGACAAAGACAGCCCAATTTGCTCAATTTTTTGGACTATTCAAGTCTCCATCTCCGTTGATTTGAGTTTGTGTCTGAAAGAGCACTGTGCCTCTAGCCTTGAAGAATTGGGGTGGCCTTTTAATAATGATGCGTATCTACAATTTTAATAACAAGCAAGGAACTCAGGAGTTAGACTCCCAGGGCCTGAGGCTTCCTCTTTCGAAATGACTGTCCTGTGGGTATGTTTCAGTACTTTCTATTTCTAAAAGAAATAAAGAATCTTTTCTGTATTTTAGATCTCCATGTAACCCTCTTCAGTTTTCACATATACCTGTGCCCATCTGGAGTAATACCACTGATTTCTGAAAAGGACGGTACCTAGTCTTACTTACCCCAGTACAAATCTGTAAGAGTATGTCTACACTGCCACCCTAGTTCGAACTAGGGAGGCTAATGCAGGCATTCGAAGTTGCAAATGAAGCCCGGGATTTAAATATCCCAGGCTTCATTTGCATCTTGCCGGGCGCCGCCATTTTTAAATCCCTGTTAGTGCAGACTCGGTAGTTCAAATTAGGCTCTGTAATTCGAACTACCGTTGCTCCTCGTGGAATGAGGTGTAATTAGAGAGCCTAATTCGAACTACGTACTTAGTGCCACATGTAGCCGTGGGCACGGAGTCCGCACTAAGGGGGATTTAAAAATGGCGGCACCCGGCAAGATGCAAATGAAGCGTGGGATATTTAAATCCCGGGCTTCATTTGCAACTTCGAATGCCTACATTAGCCTCCCTAGTTCGAACTAGGGTGGCAGTGTAGACATACTCTTACAGATTTGTACTGGGGTAAGTAAGACTAGGTACCGTCCTTTTCAGAAATCAGTGGTATTACTCCAGTTTTGAACAAGTGTAAGGGTGCGTCTAGACTGGCAAGATTTTGTGCAAAAGCACTTGCTTTTGCGCAAAATTTTGCCACCTGTCTACACTGGCCATGAGTATTTGTGCAAGAACACTGACTTTGTACTGTACAAAATCAGTGGTTCTTGTGCAAATACTCTGACGCTCTCGCTCAGGGGATAAGCCCTCTTGTGCAATAGGGCCAGTGTAGACAGCCAAGTTAATATCTTGTGCAAGAAAGCCCGATGGCCATTGGAGCTTTCTTGCGCAAGAGAGCGTCTACACTGGCACGGATGCTTTTGCACAAAAGCAAATCTTTTGCGCAAAGACACATGCCAGTATAGACGCTCTCTTGCGCAAATACTTGTAACGGAAAAACTTTTCCGTTAAAAGTATTTGCACAAAATCATGCCAGTGAGAGCAGAATTTGGCCTTTGCGAATTAGAGATCGATTGCTTTAAATTACAGTTTTTCTGTCTCTGTGAACAATCTAGTAGGAGTGTCCTCTTACACACTAATGATCAATTTCACTTTCTTGCCCTACCTGTCATCAGAAATGTTTGCTTTGGACCATCATTATTTGTTTTGGTTTTATTTCTTTCAAGCTTCTCTGGCTAACGCAGCATATGGAAAAATGATTGTGTCTCCATCCTTCTGGAAAAGGCTGTCCTCAAATACGGACAGCAGCTAAGTATCTAACTCCAGTCTTTTGTCAGGCTGTATGGTTGCTAAAGGTCAGACTTTGCCAGCAGGTACAGGTGTGCAGCTCACAGTTTCAGAAGGAGTGCCTGCTTATATGTGAAGGTGAATTTGGCCGTAAGCCTTGAAGTGAAGATTTGTAGTAAGATTCTGGCCACCCGCCTAGATATGATTCAAAGAGCATCACTTGAAGGTTTCCAGGAAGGTGTTTAATTTTTATTGTCTGCAGCATTGTGGGTATTCTGCCTAGATGATGGTTCAGAAAGCAGGCTCTGCCTTTCTCTTAAATCTGGCAGGAATGATCTTTTGACAGTGTTGGAAAGCTCTTGATTTAAGAACTAATGCTATTTCATTTAGACTGCACAATCTCTCCCATGTAAAATGCGCCATGCTACTGTGCTGACTCAGGAGCAGTGAAAGACCGAGTCAGTCATCAGAGAGCCATAATTCCTTTCATGCTCCATCCTAGCTCCAGGAGTGGTAATCTGCTACTGGACACTACTATTACCACAGTGACTGTCAATCACA